TTTTAATTATAGATGATAAGAAAGAATTATGAGAATAGCTATTCAGAGCTATGTGAAGGGAAGGGACTAATTGTGAAGGTAAAGGAAATAAAAAGAAAGTTAAAGAATAGAGAAATAGAAAATAACGGAGACTTAAAATTCTGCTGGAGATCAGAATATTCAATGATGAAGAAGAAGAATTATTAAAGAAATATACAGTATTATTATCCAACATAACATTATTTACTGGTATAAATCACAAAATGAGTATTTGATTATTCAACAAATATGTTTGAGAGCTAATAATTCATTTATGACCAAATAAACAAGGAGACAGTAATACTATTATGAAAAGGAAAAGCAAAGGGGAAATTGAACAAGAAGGTGTTTGTGAAAAATAACTTTATTGAAACATTAAAACATTCAGCAGTATCGTTGCTCACGGCAATACGATGCAGTCTTACAAACGCACAAAATGTGCTAAACATAAAATCCCAAAAATTGTTCATAAAATTTCAATATCTTCTACACCACAAATATCCCTCTTTATGCCACCACCCCTTGTATACCAGGACAGGCATTTGGTCGAGATTAGAAACGAGGATACGGCAGACATCGGCTGTGTAGAAGAAGCTAAAACTTCTACATCACATGAGAAAACGGAAATCAACCTGGTTTGCGGTTACAAGATCAAAGAAGTCGACTTGTGGTTCTTCCCAGAGATGAAGGATACCGTAACGAAGAAATATTCTGATCTGTCGAAACTCGTTTCTGCTCTCCAACTCGTTTTGATACGGTCGTGAACTCCAGGCTCTGGTTCCCTCATTGCGCAAACTAGTTACCCTGCATGATAAATTGCTTGTAAAGAAATGAATACTTCACACATGTGCACATTTGTAATGCGGAAGAGTAGGAATAATTGCCTCTGTAAAAAAGTAATGAATTCATAAGAACATAAATTGTAATTTACAGATATCAAATACTAAAGTTCGCACTCTTTATAATGACAGAATACTTTGGTAATTAACATTCTCCGTGCTAACGGGATGTTTCGAATAAAATATAAAAAAATAAGAGGCATAAGTCTTGCTACTTAGTGCACAAAGGAGTGAGTTCATAAGAAATATTATGAACATGTATTACCACGTTTTGATCCGAGACATAATTTCCTATAAACGTTTTACTGCACACTGAATACTTGTTGATGCTTACAAAAATAATTTATGTCAGAATAGATGTTACAATGTATAAACTGTGCACTTTTAAATCATAATATATCATACGTTCATAAAATGTTAAATCTGTTTCTTCTCTCCTGTAATGTCAATCCTTGAAATACCTATCATAATAACACATTTATATTTATGATTACATTTATCAAAACATAAAATGAAAACAGCACGTTCTCATGCCTTACAAAATCTCAAGAATTGTTTGTTTGAAAAGTGAGGGACACCGAAATACGTCACAAGCAAAAGATAAGATATAGAAAAAATATTTAGCAGACTTCGCTTCTACGTAAAAATTGCATCTTAAAATGTAATAGACTAAGTACTTACTTACTCAAAGATTAAGTACAGAAGGGCAATGATGATGCAATAATGAAAAAATATGAAAGTAGAAAACAGAATGTAACCTAAAAGTATTTTAGTCAGAAGGTAAGAGGATGAAAGTAGTATGAGACTTCGGAGGAAAATAAATAAGCATTTATGATTCTGAACTTTTGTTAAATTTCGGTCAGTAATAATCACGTTTCAGCAATGGAATTTTATGAATGATTAGTACGAAGAGAACCTCAAAGCTGTACCGTTTCAAGTAAGAACTATTCAGAGGTTGATGCATGCTTAGAAGGTAGAAAGCCAGAAACCTCGGTACAGAGTTATTGCAAGCAATCGTACAATAAAGGCGGATCACGTCACCTTATCGAATTGTTAAATTGCTAATACCAAAGGTCATGCAATAAGTAGGAAGGTTATTTCGGTATTTTGTCAATCTAGACAAGAAGACAGCCAACATGCATACGCCCATAAAGACATTACTTAGTTTATAAGACTATTGCGAGGTTGAAGACTTCAAAGAAATAGACCAATTCAGAACTAATAGAAAACCACACCCTTAGTGAGGTTCAGTTTCGATGCTATAAAGGTTTCTAAAATATGTAATTTGCTTAAAAAAATGATTTCTTCGAAGGGAAAGACGAAAAAGAAAATAAACATTAGACCAAAAAACTGTACTGAGAAAATTCATACAGTCAAAAACCACAAATTCTGTGCGATTTTCCCTGCCACAGAACAGCTCATAACGGATTTTTCTTTTTATCGTTTTAGGGTAGGTTTTTTCAGAGTACATTGAGACGAGTAAAACCGCACGATGTGGTGCTGTTATTGCACTCGAGTGTCTTTGCTTACGAGCACCTCAGAGCTCATTCAGTCGCTGCAATGCAGACGTATTGTTTTTATTGACAAATAAATCTTCGCGCACAATGCCTCTTTCGAAGGGCACAATGTATTTGAAATTTGAACATATTAGAATACGATTTTTGTTTCTTTTGAGAGGTATTTTTAGAGAAAGTGGTGAAAATTCGTTTGCCGAGCTTGATGAAATTAAAAAAAAATGTTGCGCGTTAGTGCTGCCTTGATCATGAATTGATTGCAAAGCAATTAAATGGAATCATTGAGGCACATAATACTCCCGAAATAAAATACAATTATGTGAGAGCTGATAACATTGGGCGTTAACAGATTGAGTTTAATCAGTAAGAAATTATATTTCTTAAGAATTTTTAAATCGTGTTTGACTATGTGGGAACAGCAAAAGTCATAGTTGTAACAGATCAGCTTTTCGTCTTTTCAATTTTTTTTATCGTTTTAGGCCCAAACACGAACAGGAGGTTGAATCGGAGAAAACGGGACCACACGGTTCGAATGCCTGGTTTTTCCTCTCCGTCACGGCATCACCTTTATTGCTTATCACACATCTAAGTCAATATAAAGAGAAAAGAAACTGTTATGATCACACATTATTTGTAACATACACATCTTTATAATTCATTTTTAGAGTCAATGGAGAGCAGACTGAATAAGAGAATAGCAAACCGCACGTTTTGCACGAAGGTGCATGCCCAGACGTACCCATTCATTGTTACTCAGGATGGAATCACAAGGACAAAACATTCTGATGGGAATTGAAGAAGCTCATAACAGATTATTTCGCCTTTGTCCACGTTTACATCTAACGTCTTTTAAATCAGACTGAATCAAGGCAATTCAAACTAAATGTTTAGGGCGCTTTTGCAAGCTGTGTCGCAGACTTTTGCATTTCAATACATGACTGAAGGGGGACATGACAAGATAGTCACGCAGAAAAAAATTATGTAAAAAATACTTTTTATAACGTCCATATTTACAGGCAGTGTCTTGTGGAGCAAGTTGTGCAAAGGTAGTTGAAATCGCACGTTTTGGACGCATCTGCAGACTCAGCCGCAGGTGCGCAGATTTATCGCATTTCAAAAGATCAAATGGAATCAAAAGAACAAAACGGCTCTGATACGAATTCGAAAAGCTTCTAACAGATGCATTTTTTTCTTTGTTAGAGACAACATCGGGCACGTTGAATGAAGTTAATCCAAACCACATGTTCTTGTCGCATCAGCAAGCTCAGTTGCATTTATTAAAGCCATTTCGCTTGGCGTTGAGCGCATACCACTTTTTACTCTCTGCGCAAGCGCAGTTTGAGTAGCGGGAGATCTGTTCGAGTAGCGCAAGTGTAGTTTGACTCGCGCAAGCGCAGTTCGATTAGCGCATGCGGTGATCCAGTAGCACAAGCGCAGTTCGAGTAGCGTCAGCGGAGTTCGAGTTGCGCAAGCGCAATTCGAGTAGCGCCAGCCTAGTTCTTGCAGCGCAAGACCAGTTCGAGAAGCGCAAGCCGTGTTCGTGTAGCGCAAGCGCAGTTCGAGTTGCGCAAGCGCAATTCCAGTAGCGCCAGCCTAGTTCCTGCAGCGCAAGACCAGTTCGAGTAGCGCAAGCCCTGTTCGTGTAGCGCAAGCGCAGTTCGAGTTGCGCAAGCGCAGTTCGAGTTGCGCAAGCGTAGTGGCTTACACGTGGTATATGCAAATGTCCGTCATGCTGTACAAAAAGTAAGGAGTTTTTACATGGGATAGCGTACAGCAATCTCCAGCTTCTGCGCATGCGCAATGCAGGAAAGTGAAACTCAAACTGCACATAAAATCTATTGTTGAGTTGATTGCTGCCACGCGCTACCGGGCAAAAACTCCCTTATCTCTATTGCATTTGAATAGATCGCAACGTTGAAAATATCGAATAGAACTCGTATAAACTGCAAGAGCTCGCAACAGCCCCCCTCATTTACTTTTCTTTTTCCTTTGATCGCCCCACGTTTAGAGCCATTGCATTGCGGAGCTGGTGAAATCGGAGGCACGTGTGAGCGTTCAGTTGCTCAAGCGCAGTTCGAGTAGCGCAAGCGCAATTCGAGTTGCGCATGCGCAGAGGCTCACACGTGGCATACGCCAAGGTACGTCAGGCTGCACAAAAACAGGGAATTTTTGCACGGGATAACGTCCAACATCTCCATCTTGTGCGCATTCACAAACGCGATGTAAAAATCTGGAATGCACAAAAGTGATACGAAACTCAAACTGCGCATACGCTGAACATAGCATCGCCGTGCTAAAACTCCCTCATCTCTAATACATTTGAAATAGATCGAAACGTTGAAAATATCTAATCGAACTGTTACGAACTGCAACAACTTTACTGTTACCAACTTTTGCTTTACTTTTCTTTCTTTTTTGAAGTAGATTACGCGCTGCGTTGCGAACTACAACAACTTTACTGTTACGAACTTTTGCTTTACTTTTTTGTTTTGTTTCCTTCTTTTTTTGAAGTAGATTACGCGCTGCGTTACGAACTGCAACAACTTTACTGTTACGAACTTTTGCTTTACTTTTTTCTTCATTTTTTTTCCGAAGTGCGGCGGAGGCGGTGAAGCGGCGCGGGCGCTCAGTCGCTGCGCCTGAGGCGCGCGCTGGAGAGCTCGACGCTGCGCAGCCAGTGCATGAGCTCGGGCGGCTGTTCGGGCCGCTCGCCCACCACGCGCCGCATCAGCGACGGCACGTCCACGCCCACGATGTTCTGCTTGCTCATCGCGATGGTGCGCACGAAGCCGTCGCGCGGCGTCACGAACTGCTGCTCCAGGTAGATGCTCTTGTCGTCCCACCACACCAGCTGCAACACACAAGCACACGCACGCGGCGCCGTTAGCACAAATGCCAACATCCGCACGCAACTTAGGAGATCGATTGGTTAGTGCCTTCGGGAGCGTCAACGGAGAAGATTGGTGGTCCCGTAAGTGTAGTGAGTGTTCCCCCCCGCGGGAGGTGGCCTCTTGATATCTCCACCAGAGGGGCACCGTCCCGGCCAAAACGAGCTCTAAGCATCCGATTGGTCTTCCGTCCTATGGCACCGTAGTGCATCTAAGTGTTAGTGTGTAAGTGAGAGGGCAGAAGGACGGGACGAAGATGAGGAATAACAGATAGCTTTTGGTACATGACCCTTTTTTTCAGGGTACTACTCTGGCATTCGCCTGGTATTGACAGGAGACACCACAGATCACTATTGAGCAGAGAAGCCGGACGCTAGAGTTCTTCCCCAGACAGGCTAAATTAGATATACCTCTGGCTGTCCCATGTTAGTAGATTTACTTGCATGTAAAATATCCTCAAGCCTAATTGACGCCTCTGAGCTAAATTCAAATCACCTGTTTCTCGCCCAAGAAATACCTCCTTTCTCTGCTAGTTGATGATAGGAGCGTAGCGAAATTTGCGGGGTCAGACGGAAGAGCGGGCCTGATGGCCCGAGTCTCGCCACGTAAAATAAGGCAAATTCAATACCTATCTAGTAAGTGCTGAGAATCGTCCTTCGTCGGAACTCGTGTTCTAAGAGGATTAGAGTCGCTTCAAGGGCTACAGCTGTAGCCCTCCGCGACCAGTCAGTAAAATATATGTATCAAAGTGAATGTGTTTTATGTAAGTTTCACAAAAATGTTTGTACCACAAAAAAAATTGCCTCTCACAATTAAAAAAAAGAACAGAAGGGAGGTAAGGATGCTTTGCAAAATGTTCCTCCATAATGTTAATTAAGTTAATTAAGATTCAGTTAAATGCGAGTGCATGCAGGTGGCATTGCTGCAGGGCGCTGAGGGGCGGGCCGGTACGAAATAGAAGTGTGCGAAACACACGCGGATGTGAGGCCAAACTCGATCAGAGCCTGCACCCTCCAGACGAAGGAGGGATGGACTGGTCTAACAGTGCCCTGGATACAAATCGCAGTGACTCTGACCGGGATGTCCAAGGATGGCAGGATTTTCGACTCTAGCTACATAGCTATGTCACATTCAGCCGCTATCTGCAGAATTCTAGTGGTCAGCTGTTCTGATCGGTAGTTTCACGTGTTTCTCCGCTGAATACCAGACATATACCGGAGCAGTAACCAAACAAACGGGCCGCAGATCGTGTGAGATCCTTCCTTCCTCTTCGTTGTCCTATCATCTCCTCTTAGACACACACACTTCCACGCGCCACACTATCGCACATGTCAGAAGACACGTCAGGAGCTTCGAGCTTCTCCCAGTTAGGGGGATGTGGCCCAATAAAGTGATACCTGAAGAGGAAAACCCCTGAATGTCGACGAGAATATCGACGCCGAATCTCCCATGCACTTCGCTTTCGGGGCTAATGACCAGTTGATGGACCAGAAAATAGAATAATCAATCAATTAACGAATTAAACCACGTATTCGCAGCCCTTTTATAGTCGTTCGAGATCATGGTGGATGTAACACTTGAGAATGCGGTGTCCACCCAATAGCCAGTATACCCCAATAGCAAGATAAAGTATACGATTTCTGGTATAGAGGAGTTACTGTAACAAGAGACTACTTTGTCAAATCGGGAAACAAATGAAGGTAATGCAGGGCAATGAAATTGCCAGAGATAGTGATGAAGCAATTTACAAATGAGCTAACTGTAAACGAACGCACTGGCAAAATGAGTGCATGGACATAACCTGCCGTTATGTTGTCAGCAGTAGCCAAGCAGATGCTGTAAAAGCGGCCCCGATTTATAAATAAATCGGTGATGGATCATGGATATTCCCATTCAAAGAGATGTAATAAAACAAAGTAATACTGATTTACTTAGAAATTATTAATTGCTCACAAACAATAACGAAAGAAATCATAGAAAATGTGGCAGATGGAATAAAAAATTGGATAGCGGTAGAATATACACGAAAAGGAAGTTGATGGAGATGATAAAAACAGAAGACGATGAATGTAAGCTTTAAGGGAGAAAGAGTCATGGTCCAGTCTCTGGAGGACTGTTTGCGCATTCACCTGGAAGTGATCTGAGGAAACCGCGAAGACGATTGATTTGAAAAACGTCTAGAACTCTCATCCACAGAGTGGTGTCGCGCGACTCAACATCTCAACCGATGAGGAAAAGTCTCGATAGTTTGCTGGGGAGTTAATGGCCTCAACTACAAAAAGTGATTTCAAAATGTTGGTCTAGAGAATAAGAGAGTAAGTTACGAAATCAGAATTAGTGCTTACTATTCGAAACGAAATGGCAATGGAAGAAAGCCAATCGCTTGAACGTATCGTCATTGTAACGCGAGTTGACTCGTTATGTAGTATAGGTCTAACACCTTGATTTCTGATTGGGTAATACAACTATTATACAACCATCTAACAACTGATGAAATACACGAAACGAAGGCCAATGTCGTACGTCAATGACCCAATGACATTTTAATATCGACTGATGAATATTTTGTCGAATGAACTCATCATCATACTGTATAGTTTTATTTTGTAATGATTGGAACGCTCGTATCCTCTTATGTTTCAGAGAAAATTATTTTGGACATTTTACTGGCATTTAAATTTTAAATATATAATTATTACAATATTTTCACAATAAATAATATTAGATTAATTTTTGTAATAATAATAATAATAACAATAATAATACGATAAAAATAATTATTCATATCAATACAGTCCAAGGTCATTGAATGAAATATTATGTGACCGGACACTCCACATTCTTAATAGATGCTAATTATCTTTGAGTACAATAGCCTATGTATCCTAGATTTTTCTGCACCTTAAATTTATCTCCGAGATCTGGAGCAAAGTCCAAAAAACCAAATTTTTGAGGTGAAACAAAAAAGTTTTTTATCCATTCTATCAAGTTTTGAAAGTATCTGCGGGATTGGAAATCAAATTGTTTACGCAAGTCACATTTCTTAGCAACACTTAAAATATAATAAAAAATGACTGTCCTAGAAGTAGTTGAAGTAGAGGACATGAGCCCTCTTAAGTTTTACTTAGAGGTAATAAGTATTGTTACACAAAATAATCACTCTTTGGCCACGTATGAAACTTCAGAAAAAAACTTTTTATGAGCGCCATCAACATACGGAATAACCTTCATTATATCACACACTTTTTACTTCTTTAGACTAACTTTTCCTTCTGGATAGGCAATTTCATTTGCTATTTGAACGAATGTACATGTATCATAACGTAAGACAAAGGTGTGAGATGTCACTTCATCAATAAATGGCCACGATGTGTCAACTCCTGGAGACTTTCGTCATGAATAAAATGATAAAAAGTACTGATAGCAAAATATATATTTTTACTTCTCTCTTGATTGGCAGTCTCTATAGCCACTGTATTTTTCTTCTAATATGTTTGCCATCAGCTTTTAAAATTGTAAACTGGTACAAATTCTGGATTTACTTCGACAACAGTAAATTTAAAAGAACTGCTGTGAAGGGTTATTTGAGTTTTACTTTTAATTCTTCACAGACACAACTACCTAGTTGTGGCTGTCCAAATCGTAGATTGAAATTTTCTTTGAAATATTTTTTATAGAAACTGTAGCTCACTTTAATGTCAGTATATTTGTTTTTGAACATATTGTACATTATTTTCGTATTCACATCTGCATTAATATACTATATTTGCTTTCCAATATAATGATTATCTTAAAATGGTAATGATTCTATGTAATCATGAACTTTAATTTTACCGTCAGATGAAAGAGAGAAGCTTATATGTTTGCCATGTATGTCTACTGGGCTTTTTCCTACAACCGTAAGTGCTCTTAATCTTTTAATTCTCTTGATACCTACTGACAATATCGCAAGAAATGCTGACGGATATTCTTCAAATCGTTGTACTCCAGTCATTAAATGGTATCTGAATGTATTCTCCCTTTTTTCTTCTCTACATTTCTTGGTCTTCTTTTTACACTTTCAACATCAATCAGACTTTGAAAATGAATATCTTGTTCATTTTTACTTGAGTAGCTATTGTGAAATTGCCTGAAGACTGTCAGTCTGTTCTCTTCTGTTATTTTTAAGAAACAGTTCTTCCGACAGTCAGCATCCTAGCTTTCTTCATTAAATTTCCTTTATAATCACCTAGATTTACACGTCTCTTGCCTTTTTCCTATCACCATCATCTGAAACATCTTTTTCAGTACTGAATCCATGGTAAAGTATTCTGAGTTACAACGTAATGTTACTTCCAAAACCACACCTTCTATAATGACTATGCCACAATACCTACCAGCTGTAAAATCGGGCCCAAGAACCTAGGATCTTGAAGAAGGTTAACTTATTTTTGTTAAAAGGGCTGATTACCTGGACTTCAGCCCTTTTTAACAAATAGAGAAAAATTGAAGTTTTGTTATCATATGCAGAGTGCAAACTTAGGTTCTTTTAACAGAACTCGGTGCGCCTATGTTCAAAGAATATGTTTCGGTTAGAAAACATTTTTTTGAAATGTGACTTAAGCTCTTTTAACAAATAGCTATTCTTTTATATTAACTATTTATTTAATTTATCATAATAATTTTGTGCTTATTATATCTTAATTTATCTTAATAATGCGATGACATATGTTCAATCAATCAATAATTATGTAATTAATTAACGATGTCTTTAATTTATTATATTATTTTGTGCTAGATTAATGTTAGAGAATACTCTGGTTCTATTTGAAACCGAAAGAGTGCGATCATGAATTTTAGAGGGCATTTAATAGGCGCACACATTACAATTTGTAATACATTGTTTCTATTATTATGGAATTAAGAACTGGATACTCAATGGTTTGAGTCATTTGCACTTCCAAGTGAAGTTCCTTGCAAACTAATTAGCCTCATCGCTTTTGTATAGGAGAGAAGCAAAGAATTCGCTCAGTAAAATCTCAATGAACTCTGAAAAGCATTTTTACACGGTTCACTCAATTCAAGAAGAAATACATTATGTAGGGTACGCAAAACCCGATTACAAACATACTTAAAATACAGATGTCTAAATCCACAAGATCATCAATTAGATAGAAGATAATATGTACTTCTTATTAGAAGTTTACATTGTGTTGTTCTCCTGCACATATTATATAAATGCCACGCACACATACTGAATGAAACTTCACAAACGTGTTAATCTAACAACCGATGCAAGAGTGATAATCAAAAGCGTAATTTTATTTCAAATGCAATGGATAGCAGCGTCCAAATGGGGAGGGGGGCTGGAGAAAAATTGCCCCAGGGCCCGACTGAATTGGAGTTCTCAATTTTTTTCATTCAAAAGAAACGAAAAGTATATTTAGCTCTAATCCAAATATAACGCTGAGTTATTTCTGATGCGTGGTGAAATGGATTCTGTTTATGAATTGGGGGAGGAGGGAATTTTTTATTTGAAATAAGGGGCCCCGAGGTTCAACAGCCTCAGGACCCTAGTTGTCTCTGGGCCCCCGAGGCAATGGATAAACGGATAGCACTCCAATGGAAGCTTTGCAATGCTCCCTCTCTTACTGGATATATACCCACCTTTCAAAGACGATTATGCGGAGAAAGTAATTACATTTGGGGGAAGCAAATAGTTTTCTTGCATTCCAATATACTGACAAATAATCAAAACTGAATCTACTTAAAAAAAGACGTTATTTTTGAGAATTCCCTTAGAATATTCTTGAATTGAAACTTGCCAGTTCACTTGCAGCTGAGAGAGTCTCTTCAAATTTGCCACGAATGGTGGTCCGGAAGGAGTTAACAGTGAATAATGGACGGACACTCCTACACACAGACACACGGACGTTACCCTAAGATCCTCCTACTTATTCCAGAAAGAAGAAATCGCTCGTTCTTCAGTCCCGTGGAGATTCACGTGTGGAGAGAAGCATTGAAGAGGTAGTAAATTACTATTTTCTTAGCGGCATGGACATCTGCTTCGAGTTTGGTGCCAAGTATGTGTATTCAACGAGGAGCTTCTCATGGAAACTAACCCACAATCAACAAAACTACATCCACTTGAGCGTTGAATTAGCCCATTACTACTTATGCAAGTCAGAAGTCTGTTAGAGTCCACTAATGGAAAATGATATGCAAACATATACAGTTACCGTCCTCATATTTATTCTAAGAACGAAACTGTATAGTCCTTCATCCTCCAAAACATAATAGTAGCCTACAGTTGTCGTTATTTTGGAAAGATTGGGATTTCTTGAATCACCCATCTTTTTATATCTACAATAAATATACTAATACAAGTAATACATTAGTTAGTTTATATCATATTTCACTAAATGTATCTGTTTCTTTTATACGCAAGCAGTTCATATACTCAACTTCTTCACGCCGGAAAACAATCATTATACCAAAAACAGGAGAAATGCAAAATTTTTTGTAAATCGTCAACTAAATAAAATGACATCAGTTAATATTTATTTCTCCCGATTTTTTATATAAAAATAAAATATAGAGAGAGATCTAAGAAATTCAAGCCTAGTCTAAGTAAATACCACCCTACTGTAGCCGTATCTGAAGAAAACGTGTAATTGTTTTCGAGCTGACTTACGTATTACACTAGTATACGCAAGAGGAAAAAAGTTTGTTTTTTTTTAGATTTAGCCTTTCCGATTTGCACAATCTAAGAGAATGTATCGAGTATGTTAATTTCTTCTCCTAATCTTGCTCATGTTGTATCTTGCGCATATACTCATTATAGAAAGCGTAATCATTTGTCTTATCCATCACATGACTTATGTGTCACCCAGGTTTACAGTAACTAAAGTTGTTTGCTTAATGTCCACAGCAATGACATTGAAAGTTTTGGTCTGCTATGTTTTATGCTTCCACCAGTCTGTTTCTTCATTCAATTTTCCGGTTCAGTTCCCAGCAAATGTTGTTTCCTACTGTAACGGTCTGCCGCTTCCCAAGTTTGTTGATGTTCTTTTCTTTCCATCTGTCAGTAAAGATTTTGCAAAACGACTGGTTTCGTTATTAATTCGTTTTTTTGAATCTGATAACATTCAATACATATTGGTGAGTTCAAAGAATTAATTTTAAGCGATTCAGCTCACAGACGAAAACTCCATTTGACTGTATAGGCCATACCGGCAGCACAAATAAACCATTTAAGTTAACAGTTGCAGCTAATGTAAACTCATAGTGAGAAATTACATTATTTGTTTACAATTTATAAATGTTTATCTTCTCTAATTTACACTATAACGATTTCAATGAAATTTAATACAATTATGGCCTAAGGAATTCGTATAATTCATCATATGCAGAAGGATAAAACTGAAGATAAAATTACCGAATACACACACATGTTGACCATTGCGTTAATCTGCAGAATTGATAAGGAAATAATATTTTTTCACATTTCATCTCCAATTCATGCCACTTTCAAACTTCATATTACATACTATATTGCAGAATTCCGTTGTTTTAAATTGCATAGACTTAATGAATTTACTAAATATTTCAATATCATTCATCTCCACGGCCAAGACTCAAATAACAGGAAATCCTGCAACGAAGATCAACTTTCACTCAAGCAAACTCTGGAAGTTAAGAAACACTGAAATACAAGAAACCAGTTCTTGTCTTTCAAAACGGTCAGTCATTTAGAGACAAAAGACTTTCTATTTTGTAATTGAGTAATTCGAAAATATACACTTATTATCCAGAAACCATCACATCTGGAGGAAGTAAATACTCGTATGTCACATCTGGTGAGTTTCACTTTTAAACCAATAATTCATTTAAAATATTAATAACACATATTTTCCTCGTTTTTTCAAGGATAAGAATCTTATTTAAAAGTGAAGTTAACTTCTCGAGGCTGGACATACCTCATAGATTGCAATTTAAAACCTAATTGTGCGACATAAAAACTATTAGAATAACATTTTCACAAACCAAACAAGAGAGCTTAAATGATTGAGACAAACCAATCTGATATTTTCACTGCACTAACATATCGTGACGAAGTCCGTTACTTGTTACAAATATGTCACCAATCTGATTTTGCTAAGAAAACGATGAATTATAGAAGTTTACCTAATAAATATAATACTGAAAGTAACGATGTATCAATATTATTTGATGAGTAACATATATTTTAGTAGTGACTCTCACTGCATCGAGATGACTTTTCACAACGAGATGAATTTTCTCATTTTGTATGCCTCAAAATGATACATGTTTAAGAAATAAAAAATATTCCAAAAATATTTTTGAAGAGTATTATCCAGTTTTATTTCAAATTTCACCAATTGTTCACGATTCTTCTAAACTTTCCCTAATTTTGTCTTAATTTTTTTTTCAGACGAATGAAATTTCATATTTTCCAGTGTGTTCCAGAAAGTAGTTTCCTTGAAGGAGATATGAAGAACAAGAAGATCAAGAATCAGACAAAAGTGAAGAAGATAAAAGAGAAGTAGCCTGTTCTTCCTCCTAGACACTTACATTTTTTTATACTTACATAATTACAATTGCGTTTGCACACATAATTTTTACTGACATTTCACTTTACTTACAAAAAGTGGCATTGACCGTATTAACAAACGGAAATGTGTTGCACGTAAAGTATGAACATATTTCATAGTCATTTTTTCTGAACTGTAAAGCTAATATGATAGAAAAAAGGAAAAAGTAGAAAGAGAAGAAAAAGAAAGAAAAGAAGTAAGTGGAGAAGACAGACGTGGTGGAGGGAAAAGGGGAGAAATCCCCCCACCCCAGAATTTTTCAGTAAATATAAATTTTAACATGTCACGAATCTTTAGAACAAAAGTATTTTCGGATAATCATTAAAACGAATAAAATTGTATCCAAGCTTGAGTGGCATATAGCCTGCGACATTTTACAAGATCTGTAATGCTCCATTCGCCCAAAACATTTTTAATTTCCCCTCGCACAATTTGTCTCTGTATCCGTCCTTGAGAAGAAGAAGAAGAAGAAGAAGAAGAAGAAGAAGAAGAAGGAAAAGAAGAAGGAGGAGAAGGAGGAGAAGAAGGAGAAGGAGGAAAAGAAGGCGAAGAAGGAGTAGAAGAAGGAGGAGAAGGAGAAGGATAAGGATAAGAAGGAGAAGGAGAAGGAGAAGGAGGAGAAGAAGAAGAAGGATAAGGAGAGGAGAAGGAGAAGTAGAAGTAGAAGTAGAAGTGTAGAAGTGCATGTGTCTCACCTTGGTGTCGACGCGGTAGAAGCTGAAGATGGGGATGGTCCTGCGGTAGCGCACGTTGGACGCGCCCTGCATGGCGTTGCCCTTGAGCTTCACGATCTCCTGGTAGAGGCCGCTGCGGTCGTAGTAGTCGAAGCGCGCGAAGTCCAGCTCGCGCACGTAGCGCGCGTTGTTCATGTGCCGCCAGAAGATGTCCACGTCCTGCGTCGTGCACAACCCTGCAACCAACATGGCCGCCGCGCGCACGCGGAGGCGCCGAGGCGTGAGGCGGGGCGGCACGACGCAAACACGGGCACGCAGCAGGAAGAGAGCTTTGGGAGGCTAAAGTAGTGGCGGACTCAGTATTTTCTTTCATGGCTGCATCGAGCTTGAGCGAATATTTTGCAGAAGAACCTTCAATATTTTAATTAATTTATCGTAAAAGTGAGTAAGATAAGATCGGAGAGTTGTTTTTCTATTTTTTTTTATTTGTGGTAGCTCGGCCATTGGCTCTTTGCAGCAGCATAAGATAAGATCGGGGAGTAAGTGGGTAAGATATTGCGAAACTGGATATTAAGATATTTTGCCGCATGCCGGATTTTTCAGTTTTTTTCATATTGAAGAAAAGAAAATGACGTGATGTGTCTCGGTGACAATAGCCATTGTGTCGACAGCCGCATCGCTGTCCAGGAGGGTCAAAGGTTCGAGTTCCGAAGGTTGCAGCAATTCATCACTAGGTACACAGCTACCAGCAGTTCAACCACTGTCTAGAAGAGAATTCTAGCGGCCGGCTGTTCGGGTCTTTAGTTTTCTGTAGTTTCACCGATAAACATCAGACGAATGCTGGAGCAGTATCCAGCGGCCACGACCCGCGCGCAGTCTTTCCTTCCTTTACTCATTCCGTCCTCTTCTTACACACACACACACACACTTACATGCACTATACTAGCACACTGTCGGAGACCAGACGCAAGCTTAGAACTTGTTCTGGCTCGGGCAGTGCCTCGTCGAGAGAGATGGAGGGAGGCAAACAGGGAAACCTTCGAAAAGGTCGTCACGTTCCAACGTAAAAGGGACACAGCCACCTACCAAGTATATAATGCACACCAACTCACGGGTCTAATGAAAGTAGTTGACTCATAGATGTAAATTGACTCACTTTTTGAACTGCTGTCAGAAGACATAACTAGTAGCACAACATTCAAGATAGCTTTGGAACATAACAGAACTACAGGATAAACACGTAAGGAGGCAAGCAGAAACCTGGCTTGGGTCACGCCCCCCATTCTAGCCGGTGCTAGAATGAGAGTGGTGTGTGTGTGTGGGTGGGTGTGGGTGGGTAGATGGATGGGTGTAAGAGAGAGGGAGGAGGGAGAAACACTGTAGAAACAATCAAAATATATCTGACGGAGACTTAAATGTTATATTTTCCAAGCTTGAAACTACATTTTCCGGAATACTGACGTACACATGACTTAAATATAGTTTATTTATGTGATTTCCTTAGACTATGAAAGTAAACTTGGGTCACTCTTCAATTGCTTCTAGCAGAAAACAGAGCCGGTCGCACATTACATTGAAATGTGAAACTGTGCAGTACGAGAGGCGCAACATATGAATGCAAACACCTTGTAGAGCCGTCCGAGAGAGATTTAAAAGGATTGAAACAAGGGTGTAGCCAGTTTTCTTTCCGAAAAGGGGAACCAAAGAGAATATTTGACTTAACAAATTTAAGACGGCCTTAACTCTACGACATGTGGGGGAAACAAACTGTGGCTGTCTGTCCATCCATCGTTCTCTTGGTTGTCTATCCCTTTTTATCGCTTGTCTGTCTCCTGCCTGTCTCTTTACTATCTAATGTCTTTCTTATCTGTCGCATATCTGTCTCTAATCTGTGTTGGGTCTGTGTTGAGTCTGTGTCTTGACTGTCTTGGGTCTATCTCTTGTCTGTCTTGGGTCTATCTCTTGTCTGTCTTGGGTCTATCTCTTGTCTGTCTTGGGTTTGTCTCTCGTTTGTCTTGGGTCTTTCTTATATTTCTTGCCTGTCTCATCAGTCTCTTGTCTGTTTTATCTGTCTCTATTGGTCAGTCAGCTTCCGTTACTGACCATCTGCGAATAACACTGTCAACGGTTTTCACGCCCCAAAATCGTATACAGTATTGTTTCAGGAATGATATGGCACACTGAATAAGTTTGGTAGTGTCACCAACACCTCTCACGCAAATTAGAAAAATAAGCGAATTTCTTTACAGTTTTAAACATAATTGAAAATGAATATCATTATATCATGCTAGAGATAACTACAACATAACATAGGGATACCAAAGTTGTTCAAATGGATGATGTTTGATTGTAAAGATTTTTCGGCAACGTTCCGCTTATCTGAGAATTCGAAACTGTGTGAACAAACCTTTCGAAATTTAAATTGTGTAAAAGAGGGGCGGAATCAGTTAATCAGTTTTAACACTATTTCACTATAGAAGATGTTTCCAATAAAAAGATTACAGTAAAACTACATTTTCTTTAATAGCAAATATTTAAATAAATAATCATTTGTTTAACATTACGAATTGACATTTATTAAAATGATTAAGAAATGAAGTTATTAAAATAAAAAGCAACTTTATGTGCATTTTTCGAGAGCAAATTGCCCAGTGCTTCAGAAGCCCTGCATATGCATTAACAGTCAGATATCGAATCACCTATGTTTACTGTTATCATGTGTATGTCAATCAAGAATCGAGCAATGACCGAGATGAACTGGATGAGCAACGAAGAATTATGAAATTGCTGCAACTTTACAGTGCTGATACATTGCATTATGTTGGGGAAAATCAAACAAACGACACTTAGGTTTTGTCGGTGTAAATACAATTGCATAAGATTGGAATATTATCATATACAAACGTTATATTCAGTTGCGTCTACCAATGACGCAAATAAATCGTTCAATCGTTCTATGATCATTTACAATAAACGCAAGAATAGATACAATTTCATCTCTTTATCACACTGAGACCAACATAGATAGGTATAAAGACAGACACGGAGAGACACAGATACACGGAGAGGCACAATGAGACAGGGAGAGGCGGAGAAAACGAGAGACAGGGGCAGAAAGACGGAGACAGACAAGAAGAAACAATTATCATATTATAATATTTTCACTTTAGAATACCGCCTAATTGTGAAATTTCTGATGATCTCGTAATAACAACGTTAATTGTGCAAAATATTAGAATAACTAACATGGCATTCTTGATAACTGCTTCTGAATACATGCAGGACCAACGACCAATAATCATAGATGAAGCACCATCCTCATTCATCGTCATTCATCTTACATTTTTTTTATTTCTGCCTCTCTTTCTTTCTTTCTCTCCCTCTCTCTCTCTCTCTCTCTCTCTCTCTCTTTCTCTCTCTCTCCGTCTCCCTCTTTCATAACCACATGCAATTCTTCAAACTCTCCTACATCCCAAATTTTTACCTGTTCGTCCTTTTACTGTTCTCTTGTTTTATTTTTTATCCTTTCTCGCTCCCATTATCTTCAACAAACACAGCTGCACACATATACGAGGTCCTCGACTAGTCACACGGTGGAGCTTTTTAATAGAGTCGTTCTAATAGAAAATACCCACAGTCAGCACATTCACGTTTGGCAGGATGTTACAGTTGGCTATAAAACATGGGTGCAAATAACAGTCTTCGCATAGACTTGCAATATTTTTTCGTCACTTTTTAATAGCTTACAACTAATTTCTTCATTTTAAAAGCTTTGAATTGCAGCCATACGCGGAGTCAGAAGTATTGCTAACATTAAAATAATGAACTAGTTTATTCTGATGCGCTTTCCCGTTTCTGAGAAAGAACCTACAAGCAACACGACGACTAAGAGAGTTCTGCTGTTTGCGTTAACAAAACATATTTTCAAAACGTTTCCGGTTGAGGTGCCAACGCAGCTTAGCAGCTACAAAGGCCTGCACTTCGTACGTAAAGGAAAGGCGGACACAGACCAGATGCGTAGCGGCAATAATTGAAAAATCCCGTAACGGAGATGTAACGGACAACCCATCATCTCCGCTCAACAGTTGCCACTGCGACTCTTCGAGACACGTGTGAAAGCCACAAGCTTTCTAATTATTTCAAGGTATATGAAACATTTAACACTAACTGAAACACAATCTCATTTAAAAACAGACCTGAAAACTAACTTATGAAATACTAATTTACGGGTTATAATCAAATTATAAAATGATTTATCACTTGAAACTAATTTTGACGTTTTGATGATAAATTTGACCAAAAAAACTTACGTAACGTACGTGGAATATGATATGAGAACTTAATTTTTGTTGGAAGCACACAAAAAATAGAAAAGTGTGCGTGAGTGGAAAGGATATTGAGAAGATAGGCACTAAATGAAGAAATTCCAGTTGCGCACATGTTCCTGACGGTTTATTACAAAAACAACAGCCAAATGCTCCAAAAATTCATTCTTGAAGCGGTGTAGTATTAGAAGGAATAAATTTAGTTTCGCCACACACTTATTAGATTCCCAGGCACAACTAAACTATAATATTCTTTTATAAAGAATGAGTCTGCTATTTTTATTTTTAAAGTAGCTATCTTAAGATATCGGATTGACCTGTTAAATAGTGGATACCTGACAATCCTAATCTTTAACCAATTACTGTAGATATCCATAGCACTTTTCAAAGGTACTTGCATTGGTGATATTTTAATGACACTTACGAATGGAATATCAGACATTAACCTTCTCGGTCTGAGAATAGCGACTCGTGAAAATAGATCATGAATACAATGGGGAACAGAGCATGAATTATAAGATCGCGAAATGTGCCGGTTGGTAGTCACAGGAAACAGGCTCTAGAATACTAATACCAGCTCACGCCTCCTCATATACACGATTTAGGTTTTAAAGCGATAATTCTGTCTTCGCTCTACTACCTCACACAATTGCTGTTGATGAATAGGAAATTGTTAATTGTTACAGGAAAGTAAATCATTTAAAAGTTGGTTTTCCTTCGCGTATCTAATATCATCACTGAAATTACTCTGTCTAGATTATCATAGATTGTTTCAGGAAAAACATAATGAATACGTGTTACGATAGTTTCTGAACATTAACTTTACAAATGACAGACGGCATCTGAACATACATGACCAGTGCCCAGCTGGAAAGCATTGGAGTAGAGCCAATAGTACACGTGCAAGATTT